AAAGTAAGTGAGAGGGAGTGCCGCTCGACACTGGCAAAATGAACCGTATTAATACGGGAAAATGGTTGAAATTGGATTCGAGATGAGATAGTATCGACATCAATTTTTTTTTATTGAATTGATATTCAATTATTTTTATGTGAAATTACTCCACTAGTTTATTAATACAAAGTTTTTTAATACAAAAAATAAAATTATTATTATTAATACAAAGGTCGAACACTCAGAAAAAATTCCTTCGATCGCTAAAAGTATGCTAGAAGTGGCATACCGTGGCAGACGCTATACCAACTAAGTGGTATCAACTCTTAAGTTAGCAATTAAGACCAGGGTACAATACAAATTAACAGCGGACCCCACGCTAAGCTGTAGGCTTCTATCTATCGTGAGACCTATAATGGCAGCTTCGAGTATATAACCAGAAATAGAGACAAAATGTCATTTAATTTGTTTGAAAACTATTTTGCCAAATCATTACGGTGACAACTGCGCATCGGATTGGCCATTCCGAATTCGAAACAATTGGCGGACGTCGTCAATTGTTTCACTTTAAATCGACTAGTTTAAAAAGCTTTGTTATAATGGAAGAAAATTGAAAAATTACATATTTAATATTTAATTACCGATGAAATGTGATTCCGTTTGTTTTGTAATTAGATGTTTTGCTGTTTTTCCCACACCACTGAAAGGAACAGTCCTCCATTGTTACAGTGGCAGTGGCCCTCAGATCTTTGCGATTTAAAGCTCTGAACGGCAGTGCAACTGTTACGGACAAGCATGTCGCTTACCACCAGGTGCATAATTTGTTTGTACGTCCCGTCACGTGGCTTCATAAAAAAGTTAAATTGCAGGAGTTACTTCACTTTTATAATATATTATTAAATGTGTAACCATTAAGCAAAGAAACATGTATTTTAAACACAAATATTGGTCCTAGAAATATGTTTAGCCATCTTCTTTTTCTCCTTTTTCTTTTCCTTCTTTTTTCATCTCGATCCTTACAAGAACCAGAGTCGGTTAGCATTAAAAATGTAAGTAGTCAAAAAAATTAATTAATTATATTGACAATTAATTTTTTTGGACTACTCACGCTTGACCAAAAAAATTCGTGAGTGTGTGTGCGCGAGTTTGTGTTGTAGGAGTATATACCAGCAATTGAAATTTATGCCTATTTGCTGTAAAAAAAATTATATAAATTCGTTTATTACATACAGGACTCGCAAACATAGCCGCTGCGACCCATTACACGTCCCTGCAGACGGACATACGTAAAACAAATGCGTCTCTATTTATTTAGTTAGTAGAGAACACAGGCGGAGACTGAAAAGCAGCACAATGCTGTGGCTTCGTCCTTGTCATCACTCATTGCTCATAATTTATTAGTAAATAATATCGTGGGATTTTCTATGTATAGTCATATACACAAGATACCTGCCCCCCCAAGCCGACTTTGTCGACCTTATAGTTCTGAGTACAAAAATGTGGAGAAAATTGTTAAGCAAACTTAATCTTTAACCTGTGAGCGGTAAAATTTATTTTGGTATGACTCTCTGGTCGTCTCATTGGTGAATGACATTTTAAGAAAGTTTTTAAGCGAATGTGATCTTTAACGTATGGCTCTTGCTTAAATACAGAACACAAATTTCAGTCACCTTTGGTAACGCCGTCGTGGCCAAGGGGTATAAAGACTGCTTTGCAAATTGAGGCGAGCAATGGTTCGACTCACTTTAAAAATAAAATATTGTTCAGTTTAGTTTAGTTTAGTTTATTTCTCTCAACATTACAAATTTAATACAAATACAAGTGCATGTCATTTTATACTGCTCTTCGAAAAGTGAGCGTCAGTTTACAAAATAATGAACAAATTATTATATAGTAGTGAGTCATAACAATCAACATAATTAATTAAACTAATAAACAAGAGAATTAAACTAACAATGTCAAGTGTATACAGAAAATGTCATTATGGATTCTTAATAACTAATAAATGCATATTACAGTATAATAATACGGTGAAATATCAAATTCATTGATAAATATAATAATTTAATTATTTATTAAGTACTTTGAGTGTACTCTGATACTGAGTAAAGGGACTTTTCCAATAAAAGGTTCTTCAGTCTGCACCTGAACGTTTCCTCACTACATTCGTTTTATAGTTCGGCAGGTAGGTGCTCATAATAGGTCGGTCCTATATCCCGCAGGTTTTTTTCGTGACACGGTACTGATCGGAGTTGTCCCGCACGACATAAGCACCCACCCATCGTTTCCACTCGCCCAAACCGTGCTAAGTGTTTCCGTGTGAACATAATGACCTCAAAAACATATCGCGAGTGGGTCATTATTCGGTGTACACTAAACAGCGCCTTGCAGGATTGCCTCTGGGTTGGTGGGTGGATGGGTGGGTGAGGAGGCTAACTATAGTTCGTAACGCTCGCTTTTGTATACGTATTACCCTGTCAGCGTCTGTCGAATTGCCCCACAGAATAACACCATAATCATAGTTGAGTGGAAGTGTGCAAAGTACGCATGCCTCAACGCATTACGGGACACCAAGGGTTTTAGTTTACGCAGAGCAAACACCGCACCACTCAGCTTATCACATAGCGTGTCTACGTGTTGTTTCCAATTCATGGTAGGATCCAACGTAAAACCCAAGAATTTGCATTTGTCACTCATCGGAATAGGACACTGGATACTCACGCTCGGAACGCGCCTACACCAGAGAAGAACATGACATTGATTTGTTTAAGTTGAGAATCAAACCATTAACTATGACTATATAATATTGTTTTTTGTTTTTAACGTCTGGATAGGTGTAAGGAATGTCTAAGAGTCGTATTCCAGAACTCTACTCAATGCTCAAGTCAGGATTTGAGCAGACTTGAGTATGATTTCAAGCACTGGAAATACGACCCTAATGGCAAGGACTTGAGTATGATTTGCAGTGCTCACTGCAATACTCAAGTCCTGACTTGAGTATTGAGTAGAGTTCTGGAATAGGACCCTAAGTCTTGTTCATACAGAACAATAATTTCTAATTTTGACAATTCCGCTAAGGGCTATATAATATTAAAAGAAGAAAGGAAATTTTGAAAGTCATTCAAACTTGAAAGTAATTAAAACTGAATAAACAAATAGGAACGAAACGAAGAAGTGACGATCGTATGCAAACTGCAGAGCGATTGCCTGATTACCCACCCTACGCTTTACTAATAATATATACCCACCAACCTTAGGCAATTTCTAGTGAACAAATATAGTGACTTGTCAACGTTAACATTAAAAAGTGAAACAATGCTCTTAGAAATATAACGTTAAAACAACACAGTGCTCCTGGAATCGAACAACGGGTATTGTAAACTTTTTACTTGGAAGTTAAATGACGAAATTTAGTTTTGGTTTTAAAGATATGTTGATTACCTTCAAGCAACTCTCCACTGTATTGCTCACACAATAAAGTTGAAATTGCTTTATTTTTTTCTTTGTTCAATACGTAAGATGGCTCTCAGACCAAAAGGTCCGTTTATGTTAGGGGGTAAGGTATCTCATGTATATGACTGTACATTGTAATTTAATAATTCAACAATGGCCCGGAAATTACACGGAAATCAAATTGCTGCTTTTTTATACAAGTATCACCATCACCAATGACCTATATTATATGTTTCACTGCTTGGAACGGGTGCCCTAAACGAAAAGAAGTTGGGGATTTTATTCGATACCTCCAATGAACACTACTACAACTTAGTTTCTGGAGCTGTTCTGTTTTTATTTTGTGTTATGTTTCTTTTTTTTCACAAAATTCGTTGGTTTTTTTTTCAAATTTAGTTTTTTGTTTCTTCATTTAAATTTGGGGAGCATGGTATTAGTAAATAAATACTGTAAGCGACATATTAGACATATAAATAATTTTGTCCTATTGTAATTATATTTTTGTAATATTAGAGCACTATTTATATTAAAGAGTATATTTGGTCATGAGTATTGTTTCCGTTGCTACATTGTTAGGTTGGTAGCGCCAGTAGCTTTAGTTGATGGCGCCACAATACACTATATTGGTGGCGCCAAAAATGCAGCCCTACCAAAAAGCTCCCACCATACTGCTAACGTTTCTTAATTGGTGATACTCGATTGCTCGACATTCTGTTTGTTGGAGTCTCAGAGGACAGTGCCTCTCATCTTGCTTTACCGTGCTATTTTATCATGCAAAGTGTATAATTGTAATAAGTCTTCATATCAATAAACGAAGAACACAAGGAGTTGGAATTTTATTTCTGAAACTTCCTAATAATACTTATGGCAGTTTACAAAAATAACGGAAGTATCGTTATAGGGTTTTCAAGAGTTGTGAACCTTCTTCGACGTGCTGGTGTCATCTCCGTTACAAGAGGCGTGTGCCAGCTACTAGTTATTCACAGATATATAATATAAGTTTGAAATTATATAAATTCATACGCGTAAAATGCGTCATACCGAGCGGAATTAATAAAAGCTATGGAGTGTTGCTAGCTTAACGCTCCACTATACAATTATATTGTTGTCCTTGTCTATACTAATAGAGAATGGAAGAACTTATTATATTTTATTATACATTGAAACAGGTTATAAATGTGATTGGGGTCCTATTTCGGCACCGCTAATAAAGCTCATTCTGTTATAACTTATAATTCTCGAACCTTCAAGCAAGCGTTCTCGAAACTTTTCAATGCACACATTTTAATTTTGAATAGAAGGGTATTTAAAACAAATATTACTGACAAATAATTTTTAACCCCGTAATGTAAGTATTTGTTATACCCGTAGGTACAATTTTGTTATTACTGGCATAGTTTAGCACATGATAAATTCCATAAGGATCGCCGTATCGTGCCGCGGTCACAACATGAAATGCCACACCGTATGTGGGCGTTTTGACATCTACTCGTTTGTGTTGTCGGTGGAGGATATAAATGTTTAAATTCCGTAACTTGTGTGAGGGTACACCTTATTTGCCAGCCCATAAAGATAACATACTTCCTGTATTGTTACTTCGAATAAGCGTCTGCAAAGTTGTCGAGTAGGCACATTTCTAAAACTGTTAGCAAAGTATTTGATTACTAAAGTTTATTACATTTATATATTCATAGCATGTAGTGACTAATCAATATGATAAATGTAGTCTTATTTAAAAGATTGCTATCATCTATAATACCTACCTAACCTATGACGTGCGCTCGAGTGATGTGTAAGTGGAATACACGTGCAGTGATAGAAATATTTCGTTTCTTTACTTTTTTTGTTATCTCAGTGAGAGTTCCACAATGGCATCATGGCCGCGTGGTAAGTTCATTACCCAAATGTGTTTAGCGGGATTTTTTCTTGGACAACAACCTCACCTTAATAGGTAGTGATAATAGGTAGTAAGCATTAGGCAAGTGTCTATGTTATTTAAGTGCCAATTCAGTCTAACCTAAATCAAGAGTCTAATTACGATGAGTGTTGCGGATAGAAGATATACAGAAGGTGTCAGCACAAAATTAATAAAATCTACTTTTGTAATACGAGTACAATTAAGTTAAAATTTTATTTTGTTATGATTTTCTACTAAACTTGTTTTAAATTCTTTTACTAACGCGCTAAATTATGATGGCCTCATCATCATAGCTCTTCTCCTCAAACGTACCGACACGCTTGCCTCTCACACCTCTGACTTGCCCTAGTCGTTTCCTCATGTCAGAGGACCACGGTCAGTTTCGTTCTACTTCTGAAGCGGGTGATTTACCTTCACCGGTTTGTATCCAGCGCGTCCCTTACGACCGTGCAAAATTTAGAGCACGATTAGTGTGTTACTTGGGTGGTGCGTCTTGTTGGTGCACGGCCTCGTAATCGCTTTACTTCCGTGTTTCCAACTACAATCAGTTTCCCAAACTTTCATCACATCATATGGCTGAAATATGAAAGAATGCATTGGTGGCACCTGGTGAATAGCCGGGTTTGGAGCTGAGACAGGATGCATTGGTTGGTACGATTAGCTATCGAAGGTCTTCTCTGTCCTTCATATTGCATTCTGTCTTCCACAGTCTTTCCTGGCTGTTTTTAAGGCCATCTTCTTTATTTAATACGTTGTTTTAGGCTGTTAAAACCGAAATGTGAAAGTTTTTGACGATTGTACCTATACAATTCTTCTCCTAAAACTGACAATTGTAGAAGATTTCAAATACAATGTGAATAATGTTATAGTAACTTCGAATAATGAACCACATGGCGACCTATATATTAATCCTTCGTGTGGGCGTGGATTTGCTTCAATTAATTAATAAAGGCTGTAGTGGTAACCTAAAACTGCTGTGCGTAAATAAAGGACTATGGACAACCCAATGTCAACTCGGAGGGTAACTAAAATGTTGCTTACGTTATTTAATGCTATGGCCAACGACTTCAATCTATATACAACAACATTCACAGCAACTACATATTTCAAACAAAACACTATCAATAGTGTTGGGTTTTGTTTTATAATAATAATAATTTGTTTATTTGCTTAAAACATAGTATAACAGTAGATGTTACAAGAGAGTACCAGTACAAACATGTATAGCATATATTAAATAGCATGCAAATGTCTAGTTATATAATGTCGATCACACTACCACAACTCAATAATACAAAAATGTCACAAACGTGTCAAGTTACAAATTAATTTGGTCAAGAATGATAATTTTCAAGACAAAATCTTACATCTCATTTTCTGTCAAATATTTCGTTTAGGTAATAAAAATTATTTTTATTTAACCAGCTTTGATTTAAATAAACTTAAGTGTAATAGTTTCATCTCAAGTGGTATTTTATTATATATGTCAACACACATCTTTAAACAACTTTTACTGTATATAGCAGTCATAGGAATAGTGTCAAGTACAAGTCTATTCGGGTGTCTGCTGAGTCTAGTATTCACATCACAGGCTTTCTTAAACAAATATGTGTGTTTTCGTACAAAGATACAAATTTCGTATATATATAATGATGGTAGTGGCAACAGACCAAGGCTCTGAAGCAAGGGTCTGCATGTTTCATCCGGGGGAATTCCACAAATTGCTCTAATGCATTTCTTTTGTGCTATAAAAGCTCTGTTTCGATCTGTACTATTACCCCATACTATAAGACCGTAACGTAATATGGATTCTACATACGCCCTATATGTGGTTTTGACAGCTTTCTAGTTTGTTATATTTTTCAGCTTTTTTAAGGCATATACAAACTTATTGATTCTCGAACATACATTCTCGACGTGAGTTTTCCAGTTCAGTTCTTAATCTATGGTTACTCCAAGAAATGTTGTGTGGGATACTTCCTGAATTGCATCGATATTTAATTTGAAATTATGTTTAGTATGTCTCGATTTATTAAATTGTGTATAGTTTGATTTGTTTAAGTTAATATTCAGATTATTTGAATGTAGCCAATTGATTATTTTAACAATTGTATTGTTTATGTCTAGTTCATGCTCTCTTATTGATGTTGTTTTTCTACTAGAAGTTATTATAATAGATATGTCGCCAGCGAATAATATGCATTGATGTTTTGTTTTGTCTGTAATATCGTTTGTGTACAGCAAGAACAGAATAGGTCCTGTCACACTTCCCTGTGGAACTCCACGTATTTTGATTTTAGGTACTGACTTGAATTCCAATAATTCATTATTTGTTATTTTGGAGACAACAACGCATTGTTGACGGTTTGCCAAGTATGACTCCATCCATTGCAACATAGGTCCTCTTAACCTGTCCTTTCCAATTACTTAAGAAGTAAATTGTGTGACATATAGTCAAATGCTTTTGACATATCAAAGAATGATACTGTAGTTACGTTACCGCTGTTAATATTATTCAGTACTGATTTTATAAGAGTATACATTGCTAATGTTGTAGATTCCGCTTTTGGAAGCCATGTTGTTCTGATTTTATAATATTGAGCTTATCACAAAAGTCTAGAAGTCTTTTATACATACACTTTTCAAATACTTTTGAGAAAATGCATATAAGTGTAACTGGGCGATAATTATTAATATCATCTTTTTATCTTTTTTAAAAATCGGTTTTATAATTGAATATTTCAATGCTTCAGGGAAAGTTCCCGAAGTAAATGATAAATTTATTAAATGAGTTAACACGATAATTATTTCATTAATACTGGGTTTTACTATTTTCGTGCCAATTTCTTCATAACCTTCAGAGTTCGTATTTTTTAATGACGTCACTTCCCGCTTTACTTCATCTTCTGTTATAGGTGATAAAAACATTGAGTTACCGAGCATTTTATTCGTAAGATTATTATCTGATCGAGTCAAGTCATTTCTTTCTTCAGAAAAAAAGTCGTTGAAAGCGTTAGCAATGTCAATTGGGTTAGCAATTTTAGTATTGTTGATTGCAATGTCGTTGATATTAGCGTCATATCTCATATTACTACTTTCAGCCTTAATAATCGACCATGTCACTTTACATTTATTGGTACTGTTATTTATAAATTTTGCATTGGCGTTTTTTTTTGATCTGTAAATACTTCTTAAAATTTAGATATTAATATTTATTGTTTTCCGTCTTGTTAGCATAACACTGGTATCGTAATTTACGTTTAGTTTTAGCACTTTTCCTTAATCCACGACTTATCCATTTTTATCTCTTATCGTTGATATGTATTTTAATTCGAATCTTTGGAAAATATGAATTATATAGCAAGCGGTAAAAATTTATGAAATTAATCAAACGCTACATTAAGACCTGGGTCTGTAAATACTTTAGACCATAAAAGTGCATTCAAATATTCTTTGAATTTTCTAATATTTTGCAAAGAAAAATCTCTTTTGTAGGTAAAGAAGAATTTTAATTTTGGAGGCATATGCTGTACAGGAAAACTTAGTAATTGTGAAGTGTCATGATCAGAAAGATACAGGGGCAACACAGTAGCATTTGAATCCTTTATATTACTTAAAATATGATCTATACAGGAGTGTTTGCGCGTGGGCACATTAATAAGGATATTTATTTATTTATTTATTTATTTGCATTTTACATGTAGTGTTATTATAGTATCTTAGAACTATGTTAGGAACTACATGCGATACCCTGTAAGGGCGTTGCAAAGTACTTATGATAAGTTTAATATTTAGTTTAGTTTAATATTTAAGTTATGATTTTGTGCTACTTCCTGCAAATGGTTTGTTGTCCTTCCTGGTTTTAATGTATTAATATCAAAGTCACCAGTGACGACAATATTTACCTTATACTTTTTATGTTTATCATGTAACAAACAGTCTAACTTGTACAAGAAAAGAGATGAATCTGAAAGAGGGTTTTTATATGCGTATATAATAATAAGTCTGTGTACTGGGATTTCTATTCCGCATACTTCAAATAATATTTGAATTGCCATATTTTTTATGAAAACTAATTCGTTATATACTGTGCCCTGTTTTACTAAGATAAAAGTTCCTCCTCTTCGTGCGTCTCGGCAAAAAATTGCAGCCAGACTATAATTCTGAATTTTTAAGTAATTAACTTGGTCTGAACTTAAAAATGTTTTAGATAAACATATTATGTCCGGATTTGTATTTTGCTGTCGTAAGTCTATTAGCGTTAATTCTAATAATGCTTGCTTAGCCAAAACACTACTAATATTTTGATGAATTATTCTAAAATGTGATGTTAGCTGTTCAGCAGTCTTTTTATTCTTCTTATGTAATACTTGGAAATAGAATGGTATCGTACTCTTTTTGTCATTTTTTTGTACTTTTGTCATTCTGTTGTTTTGTAGGGCTTGTATCAGAGTTAGTTTTAATGCGTGAAAAGTGGTATGGTATCTAACTTTCTTAAGTCTTTTGTCACTTATTCCAGTATAATAGTACATTTTATTAACATCATGTGTATAAACATATAGATACACATACGCGCGTACATAAATTAAAAGCACATGATGTTCTATTATTATTTGAAACAATCCATTACTCAGGAGTTGTACAAAACAAATATACGTGATTTAGGTCCGAAAAATAGTTTCATTTCCGATATGTAACAATCACGAAAAGCTAAGAACTCGTTATGAATTGCTGTTGAATTTTCTATCTATTTACATCTTATTTCCCACACGCAAAAAAATGTCAAGTAAATGTAACTGTCATACACGGAAATAAGTAATAAATATTAAAGGTACTTTTCCTTCCATGAAATCAACAAATTTATGTATAAAATATGTGCGGGTAGGCAAAGCACTCAACAAACATACTTATCGTTATCGACACAATCGATAACATACGAGGATCGTGTGTCAGTTTGTTATCCATTCGA